AGCAAATGAAAATCCAATACGGCACACTTATCTGTTTTACCATCAAGGTACATTCAATATTTATTATTTGCTTATTTTATTATTGATCTCTATCAAACTTAGAAAGGGCGTTAACAACATTTTTTATTTAAAGGTGATACAGATAAATTGAATATAGTAGGTTTATCACATTGAGATAACTATTCATTTCATTGGTAGATTAACTGAATGACTGATTGATATTTTATTATAAACCCAGATTCATTCCTTTGTGTGTGTGTCTGCACGTTTATATATCTCAGATGTCATTTGAACATTGTCTGATTTGATGGTAACAAAACTTCACAGGACTACGAAATGAATCATTGCGGTAACCGGCATATACCAAAATTAAAAGTTCATTCGAAAAATTATTGAAATCAAAAAAAAAACTTATAAGCGACGGGAATATGGAATGAGTTTTTTGAAAAAAATTTTGATTATCAAAATTTCAGGGTTTCATGTGACCAAATACAAATTCGTTTACTAGAATGGTTACAATTTGCAATTTTTTAATAACAAAAAAACTTCAGATTTGTAATCATATATTTTTGAAATTAGGTCTTTTATTTCGTGCAGTAAATTTCTTAAAACGATTTGTTAGCAATTGTTTATACCTATACCAATCTGATTTTAAAAATGTCAATTAGACCAAGTTTGAGTTGGGCGAATTCAACTAATCAACAAAAAGAAAACAAAAAAATCCATTAAAAAAAGTAAAATTCATCAAAATGACTATTTATTTCATTTACAATTTTTTAAACCATTTTTCACCAAGATTAAATTGATCTATCACATTGAATTGACATTGCTCTCTGATTCGATGTAAATGAAAAATTTGATATTTAGATATAAAATTTTTATACTTATCATATACAAAATGATGTAACCACATACTGATATATAGATAAAATATAATATATTTGAAGTAATTCGGCGCATATTGCATATTACATTATATATTTATTAAATAAATTCTATCCTTGCGTTGTTATACGAAGGAATATTGCGATTTATTATATATTATATATTTATAAATTATTAAATATAAAAACACTTATTCGAACAAATGGGATCTCAGACTTGAAAGATCAATTTCTTCCGACTCTAGGATTATCACCAAACTACAGTAGGCTAGAAAAACTCGATAGAAATTTTAATTTGAACATTTGCCATGGAAAAAGGCGAAAAAACGATTCAACAACAAATTCTGCATCTGGTTGATAAGTCAAGGTTAAAAGAAATTCAAGAGGGTTTATAAAAGCCGTGCCTTTGATCATTTTTGTGCTTTTTGACATGAACTATTTAATATAACTATTTGTACGTCTCTATAGCATTCATTTTTATTAGACTTTCTAATCTATACATGTTTCAGTTACATTTTATAAACATAATTTTGGAATGCATCTAAACACATATATTTCATTAGGAGGAAATTTATATCACAATATATGATTGTATACAAACAGAACAAACACATGATTGATTTAATTTCTTGGTAGACATTAAACAAAGATGGCGCTTTCCATCGTTTGATTTTAAGGGAAGTGTAAGTAATGATCGGTAACAGTTGATACTCTCAAATTGTTTCGGACTTTATTCAAAAAAAAGAGCCTTCATGTTAAAATCGGGCTCGAAAACTTAAAAAACCTGTTTGGAGTTACTGTGAGCTATGAAATGAGGTGATTAGCTTCTAAAATCAAAATGATTCCGTTATAGGATAAAAATAGTGACCCAGGAAATTTTGCGGACATGTTTGCTAAAAATCATTAAATGGTTCCTAGATAAATGTTCAGCAATTTAATTGAGGCTCGTTTGGATGTTAGATTTTCTATATATATCATATAGCTTCTCAAAAATGAAATGTGTGTTACTGCCGAATACGTTGATAAATATTCAACATTTTAAAAAATATTTAAAAATTAGATAACGTCTTCTCCCACATTGACGTTAATTATTAAAATTTTTTGATTTTGGTAAAAATTGTTTTGATATAAATGAGACGTTTTCATAAGCCATAAAAAAAATTTGGAATGATAAATTCTTTCCTATTTTTTTTTTTTTTGTTAAACATGATGAGCCATAATGTTTTGGAATAAAAGAAAAACTTTCAACATGAAAATAAACTTAAAACAAAAAAAAAAAAAAAAAATGGAGAATTTTTTGACACACACACACATTCTTTTTATTTTTAAATAAAATAGGTCTAACTTATTTAATATATATATATATATATATATATATATATATATATATATATATATATATATATATAAAAGATATAGGTATGCAGAAAATAGAAAAGAAACACGTTGGGTGCATAATCCGGAGTATTTTAGTATTTTTTATTTTTTATTTTTAAGAAGACAGTGCTCCATACAGAAGTAGAGTTTATTATTATAATAATATTTTTGCTTTAAAATATGATTCCTTCGCTACATAAGAAGTTCTCATGTTTTCAAAAACGATTAGCCGAAACCATCCAAATAATTATTAAAATTAAGTTGAATTGAGGTGTTTAGTCCCGTTTCATAAAAAGCGAAATTTTAGGAATATATATTCAAAAGGTTATAAATGTTTTTATATATTCATATATATATATATATATATATAAAATGGATATCTAAATATATAAAATCGTTTTATCAGAGAGTTAATGTTTATTCAATTTTTCATAGATTTTAGTATTTAGCAAAGCTCTGTTTACTTAAACAGACAAATAAAACTCTTGCATGATATATATAGATATATAAATATATATTTTATATATATTTATATTTCCATAAGTCGTTATGTGTCATACAGATTTTATTTTATTATATTGTCCATTGATATATATATATATATTTATTTTTGAGGGTGTTTCACTTTGCTAGGATCTAGCCCTCGAAAAACAAAGAAATTTAGCTTTTTTTTGCTTTTTTGAATTAAAGAAAGGGATTTTACTTTTGGACATTTCCATATAACCACCAACGAGACTTTTTTTACTCAATTAATTTTAATAACATTGGACCAATGACCCAGAAATTTCGTTTGACAAGAAAATTTGAGAACTCTCATATGTAGCGAATCATCTATGAATATAGATTTGAGAGGTGGAAAAATATATATATATGGAATGATAGCAGATTTTTTAAGTAAAAAAAGAAAATCATAACTTCTTATTTTTTAGAAGAATTTTAAAGTTTTTCAGTTTGATCCCTGAGATGGTCTCTCCTGTCGGTTTCATTTCAAACATCTGACATTTTAAGGCCTTTCGTCTATTTTGAAATATATATTGACTGAACGATTGTAAGATTCGAATCCTTTTAAAAACCGTAAATGGTGGAATGTCGCTTAAAAAACAAAAAAAATTTAAAAATGGATAGACGGTAATTGAACCTCGAACCAATTTTGGGACAAAATTTTTTACCAACGACAAAGTCATCATTCAATTGTTTTTGCAGTGATATGGGAAACACATTAACGGAATGGGTGTGTGTTCCGATCTAAAGGGAAGGTTTATTTATATATAAATTTCGAAGAAATATCAGATTGTAGTATTCAACCTTGCAATTTTAATTAAAACAAATAGAGAAAGGATAAAATAATTTAAAATAATAAAACTATTAGAATTTTAATTAATTATTATAAAATTGACTTTGAAATTATTGTTTGACAAAAGATGTGCATTGAAAACATCCAAAATCAAGAATTTAATTAAATTATAACATAAATATTGATTTTGTTTGTGAAAATGTGTATATATTATGTGTGTGAAAATGTTTGGGGACAAACTTTCTACCAGATTTTCAAACAGTATATATATATAAATTTGGTTGTCTTTATTTTGCCTTTATAAATTTAAAAACTGGTTAAGAATAAGTATATATATATATATATATATATATATATATATATATATATATATATATATATTATTCTGAAAAATTTGACATCAGTTCAAAGTAATGGGATTTAGATCAATATATATTTAAATTTAGTTGTTTTGTGTGTGTCCGTTCAAAATTCTGAAGATTTATAAAAGGAATATATATGTAAATTTGGGCGTTTGTCCATAACTCTGAGTCCGTTCAAAATCCTGAAAATTATTTAAAAATCTGAGTAAATCATTAAAAAAATTGAATTAGCCACAAAAATCAATTTAAATAGTCGACCATGATGACTTTGTTTTGGACTAAAATTTGGGCATTTTCCTCTAATTTTATCAATGAGACATTATGAATGCTAGGACTATTTTACTAAAAGTCCAAGCTCAATCTTGTGACGCCATATTTTGAACGAAAGAACTTTTGATCTTAAAAAAAAGAACCATTTTCCCAGCAAGAAAAAGATTATCGTGTATATGTTTCATGTCGAAGGGTCTTTACGCCTTGATCCCATCAGATTTGCAAACCAAAAAGCCACATTAAACTGTAGGAAAAATGATAACTGAAGAAAATCCGTTTCTGCCTGTTCGGTGATGATGAAACGTTACTTTTTTCTGTAATGGAATTTCATGACGCCACTGTTTTGGTTTTTAACTTGGTTTTAAAAAATGGTTTGTTAAACAGTTTTATTTTTTTATTATAGCTTACAGAAATTTTTTTAGATTTAAGGTAGCTTGAAGAAAAAACTGAAAAAAGCGTTATCCTAACACCTAGCTGGGGGAAAAAGGTGGAATTATACATGGGGAATTTGCGTATAATTTGAATATAACCCGACTAGAATTCCAGTCTCGGTTATTTATTTAACAATTTCAAGTTCAAAAACAACACCTGCCATCTTCTGTCTTTCTGCGCGTTGCTTAACTTCGGAATAGTACTCCTCAAATAATGTTTTCAACGTGATATGGTCCAATAACATTGCTTTAAGCTACAAAGGACAGGAAGTTGTGGAGAGCCATGATCGTCCACGGCCTGATTGGAAAATGTAAATTGTAGCAGGATGTCGCACAACTTCCATCCGTTAACTTACCCTTTCTTTGATTTCGTCTTTCGTACTTTTAGGCCTGATAATACACTTTGCTTGTAAAATCTGAAAAATGAAAACGGAATGTCTTCAGTTTTATATAAAAATGTAACATTTTTTTCTGCACATATATCAGAACTGTACTATTAACGTAACCGAAATAATACGATAAATTCTGGAACGAGTTCAGAATGGTTTTAAAAAGATTAAAATAAATAAAAAAACAATGACAATAATTTAAAAATTAAGGAACAATAATTCAAAATAAATTCAAAATAAAACATTAAAATTCAAAATTTCAGCAAAAATAAATCGAACTATAAAATACTTGAAAATGAAAACAAAAAAATAAAATGTAAATAAAAAATGAAACGGAATATATAAATACGTGAATAAATAAATAAAAACGAAAAAAAAAAACAGAAAAAATAAAAACAAATTAGAAATAAAAAAAGAGAAATAAATAAATATAAAAAAAGAAAGAAAGAAAAATAAATAAAATCAAAAAATAAATACAGGGTTATAAGAAAAACAATCTTTATAAGTACTGTCCACTTCATCGGACCAATGATGAAAAAATATAACAGGATTAAACATAATATTTTCTCCTTTATATTCAAATCCGTTTAAATGAAAAAAAGCATTTATTCTGACTAAAATCTGTAGTTTGCTGTCCCGTTTAAACTTTCAGATGCAATATTTTTCACTGACATAAGTCAAAACTAAAATAGACGGGGATTGCCTAAGGACTAATTAGCATTACTGGAAAAGCAGCTGTTAGTCACAGCAGTGAGCAAAGGACAAAATGAAGACAAAGTGCGAATGTCAAAGAAGTGGACGTTACATAATTAAGATAGAATGGTAATTTAAGGTAGTTTGTCTTACTCTATTTTAGCACTGCTCATTTATGGCTAGATCTGTTTCCATTGATTCAAAGTTTCTATCTAGACTAGGGATTGAACCCTCAATTACTATGCCACAAAATTCACGAACCGACGTTTTCATCCTCTAGAATATTGCCCCATGAATACAAAATATACCTAGACACGGAATGAGAATAATCTAACATCGGAAATTAAATAAAGGTGGCGGGGGGGGTCAGTCTCAGAATTCTCTGAAGGTTAACCGGATTGAGACACACCTGAAGAAGGTCGTAGATTAAACAAAAGCCGAAACGTCTTGAGAATAATAACAAGGATGAAGACATTAGTCAGACTTCAAATAATGTAAAAGATAACTCCTCATCCCAGAAATTCAGACAGAAGGAGATCAAGTTATATCAAAAACAAAGATGAGGATATTAGTCCCAATGTAAATAATGATAACTCTTCATCCTAGAAAATCAGACAGAAGGCGATTATGTGATAATAACAATAAAGGTGAAGATATTAGTCTAAATCCAAATAATGATAATTCCTCATATCAGAAATACAGAAAGAAGGCGTTCACGTGATAATAACAACAAAGATGAGGATATTTGTCCGAATGTCAATAAATATAACTCATCATCCCAGAAATTCAGACTTATGGCGATCAAGTTATATCAACAAAGATGAGGATATTAACCTGAATGTAAATAATGATAACTCCTCATCCCAGAAACTCGGACAGAAATTTGTTAGATGAACATTTTCATTCAAGATTTTGTTATACAGTGTTTCTTTTAATTCAGAACATTTTTGTGCCAATATCAAGAATTCAATATTTTCTTATAACGGTAATTCTAATTTGCGTCATTTTCTTGCATCCAAAAATTTAATCCAAAATTAAAACTTCAAAAATATGTTTAAATTGTTGCAATGTTACCTCGCCAGGTACATCGCCAATAAATAAAGTAAAAAAAAAAAAAAGGAACCAGATACATATTCAAAGAAAGAAAAAAAATACCGAAAAAACTCGACGATCTGGGGGATCTGATAATTCTCTGTGGTTAAATTCGAACAGCACCTTCTCCAAAATATTAATATGTTTTACTTACCTTTTTGTTGTCTTTATATGCTGAAGACCCTCTATATGCCGGATGTGTTGGTTTCTTAGCAATTGTCTGTGAAAACTGTGAAGGCTCCGTATCTCTCCCTGTTTGTTGTCGGGTAGCCTATCAAGTTCTTGGTATTTCAGCAGGTGATGGATTTCACTTTTGACGGGCATCAGTCTTTGTAAATGGACTGAATGCGCATCGAGAGAAGCCACAGTCGCTCTTCTCGTTTCGACCATGTCTTGATGTTCCATTAAAAGTCCACAAGAGTTTGCCGGGGTTCCGACCCCGTTTTTGGCTTCGAAAGGTTCTTCGACTGTCGTCACGTCAATTTCCGGATCGGCTTTTATTGGTTGTCTACGCTGCTTTTTCGCCTCTTCTATCAGTTCAACGCACTTGCCCATGTAGCGGAAGTTAAACGCTGGAGATTCACAACGTTTGGGAGAGCACGGTCTGGATGAGTACAACAAGAGCTTTTTCTCTTTTTTGTAGTCCTCTTTTGTCACCGGCTGGAGTTCGTAGTAGTTTGGGCGGGTTCCACTGTTGCCCAGGGGCAGGGATAAAGGGACAGGCAATGAACCTGGGGGTCTGAGGATTGGCGACATTGGAACATGAAGTTGATTAGACACTGCGGAAAAACAAAAACAATAAAACAAATTAGTTATTTATTGAGTAAAGTCATGGCACAAGGCCACAATATAGAGTCCCAAATGAGGATTGAACTCACTCATCAATAAAATTATCTGCATATTAGGATTGCCAACCCACGCCAATTTATTCAATAAAGTAACCAAAAATGTCCTTGCTGTTTTTTTACGTCGTGTTGGCAGAAGTGATAACTGATACGCAAATGATTGAGTCACGTGACTGTGAGGTGGGGGTCGTCATTGCGCTTGACCAATGCAAGTGCCTTGTGCACACACATCAGTCATAGCTCGAGTAGCGGCGAGGAAACATTGCGATGTTGAAGCAACTCGTTCTAGGTTGTCCTCCATGACAATGCCAGGACTCATGCAGGTGGCCAGGGATACTATATGGCGACTTGGCCCGGAGACACTATGTCATCCATCTTTCGTCAACAGATTACCACCTCTTTCATTCTCTGGACAACCAACTTCGTGAGAAATCCTTCGTAAATGTGTCACACTATTTGCGCCAAAGACACCTGATTTTTATCACCAGGGCAACGTTGAAGCTTTCATGGTTTTGCTATTTTTCTTACGCGATCAAAACGGAATAGTTCATTATTTATGATGCGTCACTAGAAGACGTTGAACACTTCTATCTTCCCTCCTTTCTTTCATTCTTTTTCTCACTGAAACCAAGAAGAGTTTCTGATATGTTTTGTTTTTCCACATATTCAATGAGGTATTGGCAGAAGAGGTTAAACACATCTATCTTCCCTTCTTTATTTTTTTCTTTCATCACTGAAACGAAGTAGTGTCTTTTACCCCCTCTTTCCATGCAATCAAAACGGAATAGTCCATTATTTATGAAGTAATGGCAGGGCGTAACGGTCGGGTTAACGAACGAAAGGAGAGACAAACACAATTATTATATTATAATAAATTATAATTAATAAATAACAATAAAACAGTAGCAGATATTTAAACAAAGAGTTTCTTTAACAAATAATGGCGACCCACATTAAAAAACGAAAAAAGAATAAAAGATTAGAGAGGAGCGTAAATGTGTCGCAACTTATAAAATATCCAGATAAATGCAGCCTATAAATGCAGACTATAAATAACCGGGAAAATTTCACAGTTTTCCTATTTCAATTTTCTGATGAATCATAATTATGATATAATAAGCTAATGATTGAGTAAGCTCCTTGTGAGTTCCACGTCTATAAAATAATGGTGGAAATTCCCCTATTTCATCGTTAAATATTTAAGTTTAGCAACTTTAAAAAAATATTGCAGTAACAATTATAAGTGGGAGGTCCTTATTTAAAGTAAAATTGGGGAGACGGAACAATCTGAAGGCCGTTAATGGTAACCGGCGCTTATTTAATACGTTGATCTCCAGGGGTTAATTACAAAACCTGACTTCAAACAGCAACTTTATAATAGCCAACAAGGCAATAAGATTTTGGTAAACATGGGCCATCGTTGCCCTCAAAAAATGGAGTATCAATTTACAGTTGAATTGGCTAGATGTAACCGTAAGTCCGAGGGTAATAGTTTCTTTTCTTGTACTTCTAGCTTGTGGGACTCTCTTTCGGCTCTATGATTTCCAGCCAACTTTGATCTTCAAGAATTTAAATGGAATCTCAATTGTTATCTACTGTCTTGTTGATTATTCTTCTATTGTTCTAGTTCGTTAATATTGTTTCTCTTTTTTCTTTCGTAACCCCTTGTGTCTTAGTGGCTTTACAACCTTGCATGGGAATGAAATAATTAAAAAACAAAGAGCAAAACAAAAACTTACGTGGCCAACACTCTTGGTTTAATCTTGGATGGGGAGGTGGTAAAATGCTTTCCAAGGGGAGATAACTTGTGAACGCCATCTGGTGGTAGTGGAAGAGTCCTCCGACTGCATTTCCGACTGAAGTGCTATATGGAATGTTATAAAACCGTGATAGATTATCGCCAGAAAATATCAACTTCGAGTCAACCAAAGGAGCAGCCATATTGTTCTTCATGAGATCGAGGACAAGTCAATCTGTAGAAAAGAAAATGAAAATGTTTTCCATTATCAGATAATGAGATTTATTGCAAGGTTAAAAAAGTTGTTAGGGAAATCAGCAATCGAAATTTGCGCTTTTTTTTTTCTTTCTTCTGAGAATGCAAAACATTTCGTGAAATTTACGTGGAACTGATAGACATTTGAAGAAGGGCGAATGGCACAACCAAGCGGTCGAAGCCTTGTCATATGCAACAACAAAGATGAACATATTCGTACGAGTGTAAATAATATAACTGTATTTCAAGATAATCAAAAGAATTCGTGAAATTGGTGGTAAATTGTGAATTGAATCGCTTAGACGGATCTCAGGCTAAGCGGAAAGAATGTCAACAATAACAATTAGCTGCTCTAAAAAAAAAAGACTAGTATTTCTCAACTTTTTTAAGCAATGGCACACCTAGGAGCAAATGAAAATATCACGGCACACTTAGCAAAATTTTTAAAGGGTATACATTTAAATGTTATGAAATAAAAACATAGATTAAAAAATAACAAATAAACTTTTTTTCAATATTGATTATTCAACTATTTGTGAGGCTTATTTAGTGATTCAGTGTGAAACCTGTGCCTGGTTTTTTTTTTTTTTTCGCTGTTTCTTTAATGTCGAATACACGTTATCTTCATTTTTTCTTCAGCTAGGCGTAGTCTTCCTCGCTTGTTATTTTTTTTAATGTTATTTAGGGTTGAAAAGCCCAATTTACATGAATAAGAATTAGAAAATTGCAATAAAACTGATAAAGCAATTTTTAGCTAACGTGGGATATTCCTTTTGTATTGAAATAAAAAAATGTATCCATGGGTACCATCAAATGTTTTATATGGAGCCCTCGATCATAAGAATGGTGGACAATTCTTCTTCTTTTCACATAATTGAAGTCCAGTATTAGAAGTAACCTAGTGAAAAGAATTATTGAAAAAAAAAGAAAGAAGAAATTTTAATACTTATTAGTTTATTCAAATACTAATATTGTACAATTACCATATATATATGTGTGTGTGTGTGTGTGTGTGTGTGTGTGTGTGTGTGTGTGTGCCGTGACAATAAACACACGTGCCTGGTGTTTTTCGTGATTTCTTCAATATTTGGCGGCACAGTGGTTGAGAATCACGACTGGAGAGAGAAAACATCGGAACGACAACAATGTACCATAGTAGATAAAAAAAAGGTTAATTTAAAATTTCCTGATATTTACCTGGAATTAGATTGGATATCGTTTTACTGTTGAAATATCTAAGGATGTAACTGTATTCTAATAGTTTCTTTTCTCTGTCGAACTAATTTTCTTCCTTGATTCTTGTATCCCTGTCACATACAATCTTAAAGAAATCCAACTTCAGTCACCTTTTTCAGTCTTCCTGAAATCTGTTTCTTTTTATTGTCCTTTCTCCTCACTAAAATCTTTACATTCTCTTTCTCCCAGCATTTAAAACGTCTTACTAAAATATTATCGCCTTGCTTCCTGGTTTAGGATTGAGTTTCTGTTTCCTTCTAAATTTTTTTTTCATTCTCTTACACTCCCGGCAACCCCTTGCGTCTTAGTGGCATTAGGCCTTGCTTAGGGTGAACTGATAAAAAAAAAAAAAAAAATTTCAATGCATTTATTTCATTTATCCCTTGTTCCTGGTTTAAGATTGAGTTTCTGTTTCCTTCTAAAAAAAGTCTTTTCATTCTCTTCCACTCCCAGCAACCCCTTGCGTCTTACCGGCATTATCGCCTTGCTTAGGGCGAACTGATAAAAAAAAAAAAAAAAAAAAAATTCAATGCATTTATCCCTTGTTCTTGGTTTAGGATTGAGTTTCTGTTTCCTTCTAAAAAAGTCTTTTCATTCAACGCTGTGATAACAACAACAAAGATGTGCATATTCATTCGACTGTAAATAATCTAAGAATTAAAGCAATCGCCCGTGAAATTGGTGGTATAGTACTTGGTCCGGTGGTATTCTAGTTGGACTCAGTGGAATCATTTTTTTCTATAAGAACCGGACCGAAACAAGACAAAGATATCCCTAGACAAGATGTAGCAGAAATTCACCTAAACAGTAGATTTAATAAAGGGTTCAATTAGAAATTTTCTGAAAGTTATCCGGATCGACACTTACCGGTAGGAAGATGGAGTACACAATGGTCGAAACGTTGTGATGAAGCATATTTTCTCACTTTTTGCTTTATTTTTTTAATTTTTTTTTTTTTTAATTTTGAAGCATTTTTAGTAGTTTTTCATGATACTGAGATGAAATATATTTTGCACTTTTAGCTGTTTCTTAATTTTGAAGTACTTTTTTAACACATGTTTCGCTTAAATTCGGAAGATATTAGGAATAAATTGAGTATTGTCTCACCGTTTATTCGTTCGGCATTAGTGTGAATTGAACGAGACCGGAATTTGAACTCGATCCGCCAAACACACTTTCCGCGCCGATAACTGATATACCCACAACACATAGTGATAGATAGAAGCAGACAGAGAAAGAAAGAAAGAAAGAAAGATAGATAGATAGATAGATAGATAGATAGATAGAAGCAGACAAAGGAAAGAAAGAAAGATAAGTAGATAGAAACAGACCGAGAAAAAAAGAAATAGATAAGTAGATAGATAGAAACAGACCGAGAAAAAAGAAAGAAAGATAAGTAAATAGATAGAAACAGACCAAGAAAAAAAGGAAAGAAAGAAAGAGAGATAAGTAGATAGATAGAAACAGACCAAGAAAAATAGATAGAAACAGACTGAGAAAGATAGATAGATAAAAACACCGAGAAACATATACATGCACACACACACACACACACACACACACAAACACAAACACACACACACACACACATTAGATAGATACTTTAAAAATCAGGAGATCAGTTGAATTCGCTCCATTGGTTTTAACCTTACGGTATCCACATGCGACCATAAAGTGGATTCAATCGATATCCTGATTTTTGAAGTTAAAAGTTCTACATGTTATTTTTGCTTTCATTTTATTTGTATTTTTTACACGTGCATTGAGCATTTTTAATACCAGGTGTTTCCTGGTATGATTCAACTCTGACCATTAAAATTTTCCAGATTACCTTATAATAATGAAAAACACCGAAACAGGCACAACACACACACACAACACACACACACACACACACACACACATATATATATATATATATATATATATATATATATATATATATATATATATAGACAATAAAGATAGAGAGTAGCAGACCGAGAAGGATAAATAGAAACAGAACTGTAGCAAAAAAAAGATAGATAGATAGAAAGAAACAGACCTAGATAGATAGATAGATAGATAGATAGATAGATAGATAGATAGATAGATAGATAGAAACTGACCGAGAAAGAAATATACATGAATAGATAGATACCGAGGAATACAGACAGATAAATAGATACCGACAAAGATAGACGGATAGATAGATAAAGAGAGAGGGCGAAGGTGAGAGAGAGAAATTACCCATTCATCGGTCTGTCTTTTTACTTATATTTCACTAAATCATTTGCTATCATTCAAATATGGAAGATTTTAAGATAACACTGTGTTGTCGAAAGGCATATGGGGAACTAAAAATGAAAGCGAAAACACCTGTAACAGAATGGGATATAATAAAAAAAAAAATGAGTTAAAGAAAAAACGTGAAAAAGAGATGTAGATATCGGGGGCGTCGAAGATAAAGAAACGTCCATTTTGAAAATCGCACAGCGTGAAACAGTCTGTTAATGGGTACATAAGGAATGCTATATATATCCGTAATTAATGAACTTACGAAGTATGAATAATAATAATAATAATAATAATAATAATAATAATAATAATAATAATAATAAAAACAACCTGGGACAACCATCCTCAAGAGAAAAGTAAAAAAAAAACAACAAAAAAAACAAAACAAAAAAAAAACAAACAAAAAAACAAAAACAAGAATAAGTATTTATTTGAAATTAAGAAAATACAAAGTGATCCCCGATATAGACTAGGAAATTTCGGCTGAATTGTTTGAGGATCGTTTTCTCTCGTGAAACTGGTGTTGCTTTCATACTTCTGGGTTTTGTGTGTGTGTGTGTGTGTATATATATATATATATATATATATACGTGTGCGTGTGTGAAGAAATATCTATATTATCTCTTTGTCGTTTTTCAATTCATTATAAAAAAATAATTCCAATGTCGTTGATATGGACATATTTTTTTATAAATACAGTTATTTCATTGTTTTCAGAACTTTTATCTTGTTTAAAGGCAGAATAATGATTTACAAACAAACACACACACACACACACACACATATATATATATATATATATATATATATATATACATGTAGATAGATATGATAAAACATAGTTTTAAGATATGCTATATTTATTGGTTAAAGTGCTCAATATCAGGGATATAGTTCTTTCAAATATAAAAGTGAACGTTAAATCGACACCTTTGGGCGATAGTCGGTTTCAAATAAACGGGCAATTTCGTCAGATCATCACGGCCATGACGGGCGTTTCTCGGGGCGGACTGACATATCTTGGGTGTTTATTTTCAAAATATTTTTTATATATATATATATATATATATATATATATATATATATATATATATATAAATAAAATTAGAAGAGAGAGAGAGAAATAGGTAAAATATAGAATCTTAAGAAAGATACTATTGAATTTAAAAACAAAATTACCACAATCCGAAAATAACCAACCAATATAATCCGAAGATGATTTCATTGTAAGAATAAAGGAGAATTTCTCTCTGTAATTTTCTCTTCGCAGGAGCTACAAAATAGTCAACAATTTTTTTTTTTTTTTTTTGGTCGGGAGGGGTAATATTTTGTTAATATCACTTTTGAGACATTAAGAATCTATATTGAATACATTAATACATTAACGTTTAATACATAAAGAATCTATATTAAAAAGAATCGCATTTAGACTGGTAGTAAGTTATAAAAAAAGTTCCATGCAATAAACAATAAAATGCTTGTTGAAAATAATATTGAAACGGTCCAAACAAGAACAAAGAGAAAAAAATGATTGTTTAAAGAATTGATTTTACTTTCAAGGTGATAAAAAAAAATAACAACAGACTTACATTCGATGTGGTGTTTGGTTGATCTTGTCACTTGTTTATCGAGCTTCGGGTTGATTGTACTTTTAAGAAAAGACGCGATTGCACTTTCGGCAGACGAGACAAAATACACACATATACGTAGTCGAGTGGCGCTGTTTAGGACAGTAGCACGTATTTAGATATATCGGTAGATAAAATAAAGCCTTTTAATATACCATAAGGAAAGGTATATATATATATATATATATATATATATATATATATATATATATATATAAATATACTAATGTATTTGTTTCTGGAAGATAAAGGGTAGTGGCCTTATCTCTTTAACGAAACGACTGAATGAACTGTATTAAGTGTTAGAAAAGAGAATAAATATCATTGATAATAGGTATTTAAAAACACATATTGTCTTTTTTGTTTGTTTATTTAATTCATTTGGTTTGATGTTAAACCAATAACAAAATTGTTTAACGTGTACTTTTGCGATGTTAAACTTAATTACATGTTTTTTTATAAAATATCTTTTTTTATATATCTTTTATATGAAAAACAATTTTCAATATATTATTTTAAACATGCTCAGTATATATATATTTTTTTTTTGTACATCCGAATATTTTAGGACAGAAATATAATATAAATACAATAAATTCTATATATATATATATATATATATATATATATATATATAACATATATAGATATATATATGTTAAATCATATATATATATAAAAACATACTGGTATTATATTATATCTCCATTTCTTTATAGATTTAATTTTATTTCTATAGGATTTAATCTATATTATCAATAAAAAATATATATATATATATCCCTTAGAATATATATATACATATATGAATTTTTTATATATATATATATATATACCCTTTATAAATTATATATATATATAAATATATATAAGTATATATTATAAATATATAAAATCTAATATATATATATATATAATGAACGGGAATTTTATTTATTTATTTATAATCTTTGATATGAACAAATTTTATATATATATATATATATATGCCAAAGAATTTATCAATATTTCAATATGGAATATATATATATATATATATATATACTATATATATATATTTATTATAAACCTCGTTTACTAGATCTGGGTATATGGTGTAATCAGCATATATTTATAAATAAAATTTAATCTATAACATATCTAAATCTCTGGAAAATATATATATAGTATTCAACATTCGCATATATATATATATATCACGTCTATATATGCTTATATATATATTATATATATTACTAGCAACTGAAATATATATATAACCAATATACACAGTGCTGTCATATATATACTGTATAATGGTAATATTATTTTTTGTTTATATTTGCAAGAATATATATAAATCTTTTTTTTGGAAATCGGATATATGTTATTTAAAAAAAAACCTATATTCATATTTATATTGAATAAATATAATATAAATATATTATATACTATATCTATATATATATATATATATATATATAAAAAAATAGACATATATATATATGTATAATATATATTATATATATATATATATATATATATATATATATATATATATATATAAAATGAATATATATATATATATATATCGTTATATATTATATATATATATATAGCCTCAAATATATTTTGGATGGACTAATATAATAAATATTATTAATATATTTATTATAAAATATTATATATACAAATATATATATATATAAATATATATATATATATATATATATATATTATATATATAAATAAGGGATTATATAATTTTCAGGCATATATATATATATATTGTTGTTTTTAAATAATATATAAAATATCAGGTTTCAGAAATAATGGAAAATTGATTTATATATATACAACTGGTTCATATTATTTTTTACAAATTGGGGCATTATATAGATATGTTTATTAAAAATTTAAATTTATAACGGTTCATTAAAATTTTAAATTATGTTATCAGTGAAGAATAATGTGTATATTTATTAATATCTTTCTAAAGAATTAATTGGTTAATTTTTAATCCGGAAAATGTTATTTAGTCCTGGGTCTCACAATAAACCACATCCGGCAGGCAGCAAGGCTTTTCTGATCGAGTGATTGGATGTTTTAAGGGGAGTGGAATCACCTCATAATTGCTATTGTTCCCAGGTTCACTCTGACTCAAAAAAAAGCACCTGTTAGGTTCAAAAAAAATTGGCAAATAGTACCCCTTAAAAAAAAAAAACAAACGCTAAGAAAGTATAAAAATACATTTTATAGTAAAAATACCAGTAATACATTTTTATATAATATGCCAAATAATTAAATCCATTAAAAATCTATTTTATACCCAAATATGTAAAAAATAATACCAAACAAATCAACATGAAAGAACTCTTTCCTAACCTTTAATTCATATAATATCCTACAATTTCTTAAAGAAATCAAACTGTATTCCAAAATATAACTTCAATGAAAGCACAACATGAAACACATCACCGCCTTTAGTAATCATGTCCACATAAACAGGTATATGAACAAAAGCTGAGTATCAGCTACCATGTATTCAATTGTGAAAGCAGAATAACATATATCATTTTTCCAATTTTCCCAAGAAAATTAAATTTCGGCATTAAATGAGGTCATACCTTTGTTGAGAATGCCATTAAACAAACAAATCAAAATCAAACTTTATTTTTTGCTTTTTAAGATTTATTTTTAAAGGACGTTAATCCATTAATATTTATTAAATAGGTGCATTACAGTCCATTAATATATTCTAGAAATCTTATAATATCGACAGATTTAAAAAAATCTACTAAATAAGACTTAAGTTACAGTTTCTGAGGTCGGCAGCGCATAATCTGATATTTAATCAGTAGTTGAACCAAACCACTATGCTCAAAATTCGGTCATCGATGATTGAACAATTAATTTCAACCAATTTTATCTAAAGTCTAGGAGATTAAATTTTTTTTTCGAATGTTTAAGTCCAGGAGCCGAAATGTTTTTATTAAAAAAAAAAATTAATCACAGGACGAAAAAAGTACTCAAATACAGGTTATGGAGTAAAAAATGACGTTTGAAGATGAAATAACTAAATAAATGGAAAAAGAATGGACGAAATGTCTTTCAATATCGTTTTCGGGAAAAAGGAAATACGCAGAGAATAAATTTAAGAGATCAAAAGCTAATCAAATAACATTGTTTTGTTTGTTACATTGTTATACCAGAACATTACCTATTCTATATAAAAGACTCTCCCACATAATAATAAGTAGTATATAGTTATGGTATAGTAGCTGTCGCCAGTTGGGCTATATGGAGTTGAGTGAGTCAGTCGATGTCGGACATTGAAGTATCAACCCCA